CCCGCCATGAATGCCAGAATTGGGAAGTGGACAAAGCTGGTTGGATCACCTGGCAACATCGTGCTCTCCTGTCAGCACCACAGGTGATGTTGGGAAGACACTTTGCTTCTTCCCTTGTTGGGGGTTCAGGGCTGGGACACCCATCCCAGCTACCATCACTGCCTTGGAGAAACCTTTCCCCATCCTTGTCTCATTCCTCCACGAAAAGAGGGTGTCACGGTGCCCAACAGGTGCCTGGGCACTGCCCTCCTTCCCCTACCTATGGTGGAAATCACAGGATGGTTTGGCTTGGGAGGGACCTTAAGACACCTAGTTCCATGGGCAGGAACATCCCTCACCTGAGAAAGAGCATCAGGTGCACATGACAACTAATTCCAGAAAGGCCACGAGGGTGGGGGGTTTAGCAAAAAGCCCTGCTGTGTTTCTTTGAAGCTGGGAGATCCAGGGCAAGTAAAACAGAAGGAAAAAAAAAACCAACAACAAACCCCCACAACAATCCAACTTGAATTTTATTTCACTTGAGCTCTCAGGACAGGACGTGCCACGCTGTGCCATGAAAACACACCCTGCCAGGGAGGGCTTTGCATGGGAAGAGTCACAAAGTGAGAGCAGCCCCAGACAGAGAAAGGCTTTACAGTCCACAGGCAAGTAAATAAATGAAGGGTTCGTATTCACACTAACCCAGGGAGCAAATCCCCTCCTCAAACCCACCGTGGGGCTGGGGGCAGCAGCCAGCCCTGCAGCAGCCACTGCTGGGGCTGGACACGGGGCTTTTGGGAAGGGGGAAGCGAGGGCAAAGTGAGGAGCAGGCAGGTTTTCATGCCTGTGCATCATCTGCCAGCCCAGCTCAGGGCTCCCAGCGTCAACTTCCTTAGCAGGAAACTTATTTTTTCTTCCTGTGAAAAGCAGAAGGAGGAAGAAACGTGTGAACGTGGAGAAAAGCAGGGTCTGGGAGAGGAAGATGCTGCTCCGAGTGAAGGAAGTCACTGCTGTTTCCTCAGGGAAACCATCACCCGCAGGGGGCAGCTCCTGGCCACAGATCCGAGCAGGATGAGGGAACGTGGCTTTCCCAGCCGAGCATCGATGCATTACTGCACTGGCAATGAGCAAACCCTGCTCCTGCCATTTCCTCCTCCCCCAAAATACGGTTGGTGTTTGGTTTTGTGCTTTTTTTCCCCCCCCAAAATGCTTTCAGAGGCACAGCAACAGGCTCAAGCTGGGGAGAACACGACCCACGGATGGCAGCACCAGCACACTGAACCACCAACCACTGCCTTGCCCAGCAAGGTCCCACTCCTCAGCACCCTAAGAGTAGGTTCCTTGGTCCCCTGGAAGCCCTTGGTCCTAGCAGTGCTCCCCAGGACCACGGGTGGGGTGGGATGGAGTCAAAAAGGCTTTCACCAAAGCCACTTACGTGACAGCAATACGCTTCAGCAGTTTCTTTACCCAAGGGGCATCAGGATTCACACACACCTTCCCCGAGGGGTGTAATTTAATTCTGAAACACAAGGAGAGTTGATGAGCGTTCTCCTGCCCTCCCAAGCAGGGACTGGAGCAGCCAGAGCCCGTCGGCAAGACGCAGCTTCCATCCCAGGAAGCTGCTGGTGACAGAGGGGAGCCACAGGACAGGCAGGAAAAAGCAAGATGCAGCACGTTCCCATGCAGAGCAGAGATGGTGCTTGAAGCCCAGAGGTGACTGTTCAGGGACAGTTTTCTCTGCTGATGAACAAATGCAGCAAGGCTGAGCAGTTAAAGAAACCTGATGCTTCTGCTCAACGTGCTGCTTTAGCCAGGACAGGGGCCACAAGAGAAGTGCATGAGCTGAGATCCGTATTGGGAGTGGAAAATTAAATAAGGCTCATCCTACCTTGGTGCCCAAGGATGTGCCTCCACCAGGCTGCAAACACACACTCCCAGCCTGCTCCCCAGTAAGGCACCAGTATGAGGAAACCATCCTTTCCCTTGCTGGAAAGGCTTGCTTAGGTAGAGGGGGGTACCAGCAGGTCAGCTCTGATGTTTCTCAGCCCCGAAGCGTGGGTGAGCTTGCTGGCATTTTGGAAAAGCTGCAGTTTTCAGAAAGGGAGCAGAGAAACGAGGTGGTTGCCGGAGAAAAGGGGCAGTGCTGGCCCCCTGCTCTGCAGGGGCTGGAGGGGAAAGCAGCTGTGCCCCCTGAGCCAGCTGCAGCACTTACATGATCTCTGTGCGCCTGCAGGTGCTGCCCACAGGCCTGATCTCAATGCTCTCGTACCGCTTGGGACTCAGGTAGTTTGAAGTTGTCTTTAGGCACCTGCAGTTCAGGTTTCCATTCACCTCCAGGATGGCTGAGAGAAGGAGAAGGGAGCAACTTACAGAGACAAACAGCACTACGCAGAGACACAGCAACTCCAAAACTCTTAGAGCCAAAGAAATGGTCCCTTTCCGTGCTTTCACTGACCACACTTTAGGGACCACACTGAGGAACCATCGTCTGTGCCTCCACCTCAGTACCCTGTTCTCACACAGCTCCTGGAAGCTGAACAAGCTCTTAGCAAAGAAGGATGGTCACCCTCCTTCCTTGGCTACGAGAAAATCCCTGGGCTGAACAAGCAGGAGGAGCCCTCACCTCCCCCAGCCCCTTTTGGCACAGGATGCAGGCAATGCCCACCCATGGCAAGGAGCACAGCAGGCAGGAGCTGTGGGCACCTCTGCAAAGACACCAGAAGCTCACCTGGACAGGCTAGGTGGGAGAGCAGCAGCAGCAGCAGCAGCCAGGGGAGCAGGGGGGCTCCTGTCCCCAGCCCAGCTGGCACTGGCATCCTCAGGGCAGGCTCCCAGGGACCGACTGAGGGACTGGCTGAGAAACACCCCTATTTATCTGGGAGGGTCTTGCTCTGACACAGGCAGCCAGATGAAAACTTCAGCAGTCACACCTGACCAGCAGAGCGTGAAAAGAGGTGACGTAACTTCTCGCCTGCTCCCGCTGCTGGGTCAGAAGCTAAATTTACAATATTATTGATTAGAACACCAGTCATTGGGACGAAATGCACTTTTGGATTCCCCACGTAATCTTCCCCGTGGCCTGTTTCTGATGAGCTGTGTCTGCACAGACATCACCCTCAGTTCCCTTTAGCATTTACCCCTCAACCACAGAAAGGGCCCAGAATAAAATCAGAGTGCAAACCCCGGGTAAGCAGGGCAGGGTGGTGGGTTTTTTTTAATGCACTCAGATATTTACATATTTCTTTCTTCGGGCTATAATTCCCCCACACTATTTTTGCTATCTCTTACATCAGCAAAAACGTCTAGCACCAGAGAGGGGAAAAAATAATAAAGCTTTCTGCCCTCTGTTTCCACTCAGGGCCATCAGCTCTTTGCTGTATGAATAAAATAGTCAGGAAATGCAAGAGATGAGTGGTACAAAAGCACCATCAAACAAGCAAACTCGGCCTCCATCTCTGCACTTACGTGCCAACCTGCACGTTTCTCAGCAGTGGCTTTGGTGGCACCCAGGGCCTGGGACTGAAACACAGCTGGAGGGATGCCAGAGAAATGCAGCAGGGAGAGCAACAGGGCTGGGATGGACTCAGGGACTTGGGAGGGCAAGACCTGAGCTCTCCCCTTGCTGCCTCCCTTGAGAACATCCCAAGTGGCCTTCAAGTAACAGAGGGTTCAAATCCCTCTTTGGATGCACAAGGATATGGGAAGGCCACTGCTGCAAAGCAAGAGCCACAGCAGCCCCCTGTGCTCCTGGGTTTTGGTGGGATGGGGAATACCCTGACTAAGGCAAAGTCACCAGCCGGGAAGCAAGAGGGGAAAGGGGACGTGGTCATGATAGTGAGGTGAGGAGGAAGGAAGAGGGCAGAAGAAAAATGATGTGGTTGTTTGATCATGTTGTCATTTGGAGCTGTCAAGTCACATCAGCATTTTATAGACTAACAAAATAGGAAACTGGAAATTAGATTCTTCCACCCAAACCATAAGCTACTCATCTTTCCCTTCAAAACCTGTTTTTCAACTGAGACAGGTCCAAAAGTCTTGTAAAGATGTTGTTCAAAAGATGAAGGGGAGAAACAGACAAGCAAGAATTTAACTCCCTGGAGGTTGCAGAAAGGCCAGGAACAATTTCCATGAGCTATTCCCAAAGTCCTGTGGAGGGAACAAGAGCCTTGCTGCTATGGAAGTGGAGAAGGAGATGGTTTTTGTTCAAGACTTTCAGAGTTTTCCAATGCCTTGTAGAGAGTTATTAGAAGGAGTCCGACCTAGGACTGGTTTAAGTGGTTTTGCTGGGTCGTGGCAGGGGTCTCATTAAAGAAAAGTCTGTAAAACCACGGGGAAGGCAGTAGGTTACCAGGAGAGATGACCCATCACCTCCTCACTGAATGGTTGGAAAAGACCTTGAAGGTCATCAAGTCCAATTGTTAACCTTGCACTGCCAAGTCCACCACCAAACCACGTCCCTAAGCCCCACATCTACATGTCTTTTAAATACCTCTAGGGATGCCCACGACCTCCCTGGGCAGCCTGTTCCAATGGGCAGACCAAGGTAACTCATGAGTGAGATCACAACCCCGACTTGTGGCTACAGGGCAGGTCTCCATCTCCTGCCTACCCTGGAGAGATGTAGGAGCTACAGAAGCATGTTTTGGATGGATGGATTTAGAGAGGGGTCTTTAGAGGGGTCCTAGGTGATTAATTTAGCCTCAGCAACCTCAGTTTTGGCCTGGGGCAGATGTTTGCCCCCAGACCTATGCAAGATCCCAGGTGTTTTCACTGAGGTGGTCTTCTCTAGGGATGTGCTGCTTTATGCTTTATGTCCTCATGACACTTCTTCCATGACAGTCATGGTGCTCATGACTTCACTTGGTACCCAAGATGAAACCCACACATCCCTCAGAGAGAGGACAGGAGGGTCTTGTCTTCATAGTAAGCAGTGAGGAAGTTGTCCCTTCTGCAGGGTTGGCCTTGGCAGCAGCTCCCCTCTGAGTAAGAGAAGTCACTGAACCACAGAATCACCAAGGCTGGAAAAGACCTTTAAGGTCATCAGGTCCAGCCTATGACCAACACCCCCATATCTCCAGACCAGGGCACTAAGTGCCACATCCAGCCTTGCCTTGAGCACCTCCAGGGATGGTGCCTCCCTCCACCACTGCCCTGGGCAGCCCATCCCAATGTCTGATCACCCTTTCCATGAGGAAGTGCTTCCTGATATCCAACCTAAACCTCCCCTGGAGCAGCTTCAGGCCAGGCCCTCTTGTCTTGTTGCTGATTGCCTGGAAAAAGAGCCCGACCCCACCTGAGCACAACCTCCCTTCAGGGAGTTGAAGAGAGTGAGAAGGTCCCCCCTGAGTCTCCTCTTCTCCAGGCTAAACACCCCCAGCTCCCTCAGCCCATCCCTACAAGACTTTCCCTCTGGTTCCTCCTCGTTGTCTCCCCTGGACCTGCCCCAGCACCTCCAGGTCCTTCTTGCAGTGAGGGGCCCAGAGCTGCCCCAGGACTGGAGGTGCAGCCTCCCCAGTGCTGAGCACAGGGGGAGAATCACATCCCTGCTCCTGCTGCCCACACCACTCCTGACACAGGCCAGGATGCCACTGGCACCTGGGCAGGCTGCTGGCTCATGTTCAACTGGCTACCAACCAGTGCTCCCAGTTCCCTCCCTGCTGGGCTGCTCTCCATCCCCTCTCCCCCCAACCTGCAGCTGCCTGGGGTGATTGTGGCCAAAGTGCAGGACCCTGCACTTAGCCTGGTTGGATTTCACACCATTCATTCATGTTATTCCTGCCTCAAGTCAACACTGCTGGGACAAAACAACGTGCTCACCCTAGGGCTGCAGAGAAGCAACAGCCACTGTGGCATCCTTTGGACAGCCAGTGGGGTGGCCTGGCAGTCGTTGCCCACATGGTGGCAAAGAAGAAGAAAGACCATAACCAGTGGTTATGTCAGACATGCCCTCTTGGTTCACACCTCGAGGCAGATTTTGGGTTTCCCCAGAACACCAGGGTCGTTTGGTGAATCCCCAGGGCACTGCCCCAGAAGACAAGCATTTGCCTAGCAGGCTGCTAGGGGTTTCTGCTTGGGGTAGGGGAGGTGAAATACATGTGGAGCCAGCCAGAAGGGACAACTTGGCAGAGATAATGTAATGGTTTTGGAATCACCTTGATGGTAGCCCAGGTGGTTTTGATGTACATGTCAGGGTTGATAAACCTGGTGGTGGTTGCTTGGGATGGAAAAGCTTGCAGGCCACTTCAGGCTGCTCAGCTCTGTGCCTGCTGAGTGGTGATGCTGGGAAGGGAGGAGGAGGGTGAGGACCTGGCCTGGGACTGCGTGTGAAGCTAACTGCTTCCTGGGTGCCAGGAATTCAGAAGAGTAGCCCTTACGTGTTGATCTGTGGACTTATCCAGGCCAGCATCAACTGAAACACATCAGAAATACCCCAACAGCTTCTGTGTTTTCTGCAGCAGTCACAGCTTTGCAGGGCAGAGTTTGATTTGAGTCACTTTTTAAATTACTGTTCTTTTTATTAGATGTTTTTAATTACCTTCTTTACACCCACTGGGATCCTCCAAACATCCTTCCTGTGGGAATTAAATCAGAAGCCTACAAAAATGTGGTGCTAATACCTCCAAAGGCAGGAAAGAAGTGCTCTGCTGTGTGGCTTTGCTGTGCTCCTACAGCCATTAAACCACTTAAAAAGATGGAATTCAGTGGCATCAAGCCACAGAAAGCCTCAGGCTACCTCAGAGAGCTCAAAGACTTCCTTCAAGGTACTGAAAAGCAGTTAATGGGACATGAGAGGAGAGGCAGGTGAGCCACGTGTGGCAAGAAGAAGAGAGCTCATGCTTTTTGGCAGAGGGAAGAGGGAGGTTCTGCACGTCTGAGCCCCCTCTGAAAGATGGGAGTGGAAAACCTGTCCCAGGGTCTCCAAACACATGAACCAGCAACTGAGCAAGATCTTGGTCTGTACCAACAAGGCAGCTCCAGAGTGAGCAGAGAGCGACCTGA